CAATACCATAATATTACTTACACATCTAAATTAATTTAAGTTACTATATGGTGAGTTCAAAAAGACTAAAAAATCCCAAAATATTACCATTATAAGAGACCTAGGTGTATTTCTTTGGTTTGCTTACCTAAGCTGTACTGATGAGCCTTGAATAGGTGAAACTGCTGTCCATAGCAGAGGATACAGCCAATCAAAGAAAGCGTTAGGCCTAAGCTGTACTGATGAGCCATTTCAATTTTATCTTTGGTGAAAGAAAGAAATCTGTAACATCTATATAATATTCAGAAATATGCAGAGAATACATTAAATGCAAATCAATGTTTTTGGTGGACCCACACATCATTGATAAGATTTTTTCATTATTTTCTGATCAGTTTTTAAAACAATCTGCCCATATATCTAAATTGCTTTATTTCTTGTTATTCAAGGACATGTTGAGGCAAAACTGGGTACATTTTGTGTTTAGACATGTGCAAAAAATAAATTAAGCAGTCATTCAGTTTTTACTGGTCATCTATTATTTGCTGTATTCATTTTAAAAAAAGTGGTCCCCAGCAAATTTGAGCAGTATGTTTCTGACTAAGTGTGTTTCTGGGGAATTAACAACACAGATTTGAAATCTTAAGAAATTTAGGCATAGGAAAGTTCTATACTTGAAGAATATTTCATACATCTACTTATTAAAACCTGTTGAAATGAACTATTATTAAGAGGTTCTGAAGCAACCACTAAAAAAAATAAGATTAAAGATATACCCCAATATCTTTCAGTACCACTCTGAAAAATTTGTGTATCCCAGTAAATGTAACAATAACAATAAACTAAATTAAAATTATTCTTATAACCTATAATAAAATACTTAATTAATGAAATTTTCCTCTTCACCAGGTTTTCATTATCCCGCTTTGACCAGCATAACTGTCAAATACCTACCTACGTCTGAAACTACTTTTTTCACTAGTTTAATTAGTTCTGGGGCTATACTTGGGTAAGAATATTATTGTTTTTTTTTTGTTTTTTACCAACTAATAATCCTTTTGTGTAGGGAGTTATTTTAGGTACTCACACTGGTAGCTGTCAACTCATCACTAGATGTCAATAGTATATTAATATTGTTGTGTCAGAGAGGTGGCGTGACACTAGTCACGTGACCTCGCTGACGCAACACAACAATATCATAATATCAGCAGTTTAAAATGTTACTACCAACAGAACACTAGCATAGCATGTTAATAAGGAGACATAATCAAGGTAAAATGTAACTGCCAACACATCATTGTGGTAGTATATTAATACCAAAATATAATAACAATAAAATGTTGTGTTCAACAGGGTAGTAAGATCGTTAGGCTTATATGTTGAAAACTATTATATCAGTTATTTGGTAATGATGAATTTTCTGTTTAATTATGTGTAAACATTATCAACCAGCTGATTTAAGTGAGATACATTGTGTAGTAGCATTATCATAAGAGGTGAACAGAGTAAAATATACAGGGTAAAGTGTTATCATTAGGGTAGCATAATAATATCAAGACATAATATAATCCCTATCCACAAATGTTTCGAATTTTTTTATGTTCTAATCTCCAACATCATAAATCCAGTTGAAGTTACATGCCGAATTTGGTTTGATGTTTTTGTCTGTAGACTCTCTGGTCAAGGAAAATATATACAGTTTAATAAGATAGATGCTTGGTCTTGTGTAGAGGACTACCTTGCAGCTGTCATATATATAGTTCTGGATTTCAGTGCCAGTTTTCTGATTGGTCAGCTGTAGAGAAAATGTGTATTGTGCATTCAGTTTTTATGTTTTTTATGAGATTTTTACTGACCTTTGAAAATGGCACTTTGTTTCTGATATTGAAAGTACCAAAACTTGCTAACAATATCAGGTCCTTATTCATCTGCTCATTGTGTGTGCTTTAGTTTGTTTCGTTTCGTGTTACTTTTTCTTATTTTGCGGTACAACAGTCACCAATATTCTGATCAGACACTCCTCCTTTTAACGAAAGTGTTTTATATTTATTCACACTTCATTTGTTACAAAGCATTACACTTCCTACATGTATTAGATCCTCAAACCTCTAGCGTTTGTGGAGATTGAATACCTTGTATACTAGGTTCAACCTTGAGATTATCACAATGTTACAGTCAACAATTCATCACTGGGGTAGTATATCAATATGCAGACATATCACAATGTTACAGTCAACAATTCATCACTGGGGTAGTATATTAATATGCAGAGATATCACAATGTTACAGTCAACAATTCATCACTGGGGTAGTATATTAATAGTGTTATGTCTCCGTTCGTTAGTTAGTTTTCCATAAATTCGTTCCGACGAAACTTTAGCGACACAAGTCCTTTCTTAAATAAAACTGGTTTATTCTTTCTGAATATAACTTTACGATACACTTAATTTCAACAGTCGCTCTATAACAACGCTATGTCTCACGTGGCCAACAATATTTTGTCCGCATACATTCAATTACTCATTACGCTGTTTCCCGTCACGTTGTGAACGTCTTATGTATACAAGACTAACACATATCTAGTAAATGCTAGAGCATTCTTGAAGGAACAGGATATTTCTAGAAACAGGTGGTGTGATACTAGTCACGTGACCTAGCTGACGCAACAATATATAGACATCACAACATTAAAATGATAATGACTGCAGGCTAGAGTGATGGTTTAAATTTTGAATGTTGTTACTTACACAAGTGGAAGGGTTAATTGTCAACTAAATATTTGTGTTAAATGTGAATATAAACGTACAAATAACATTAAAATAATCCTTTTTTTTTGCATTAGCATATATTTATTGGAGTTGTTTGCTTCTCATAAAATTTTCATACATTACTGCTGTTAAAATTGATACACAGCTATATATATGTATTTTTTTTACTTTAAGTAATAAATTAACTTGTTTAAGATACAGCAGGTTATCAAAATAGTTTCAGTATGTATTGCCATTATTTCATAAAGGATACTAAGCAATCATGAAATTCAATTTGTATTTCTGATATGTTATATTAATTCTGAAACTATAGATCTAATAAGCTAAAAATTAGCATGCAGTACAAGCAATTTGCTTGTGAAAGAGAAGGAAAGGGGTCAACTTCAGTTATTTTTATAAATTTTCCTATAGATGCCTGCTAGTCGGAAGTCTTGGTTCTGTCATTATTGAACACTATGGTTGGGTGTATGTATTCAGGTTTTTTGGTACGTATGTCCTAGATGATGTTTGGCCTTCTGAATATTAGAGCTGAATATATATATGTTAACTTTTTGTAGTTTTGAAGTTAGTTCAAGTTGATCTTGTCATCGCAAAAGCTTCTTTTGAGAAAAGTAAAATATTGTGGCCAAAATGTCAGTATGGTCATTAGACTTATTATGCCTTGAAAACTTATCAAGTTGTGATGAACTACACTGTAAAATGTTATCAGTTGAAGAAACTGTGCCTCTCACACCTTCACACCAGTTGACACAAGTTTTTACACGAATGGGTACACAAACCACGAAAATAAATGTTAACCACCATTACATATATTTTCCCAACTCACCAAATACTTCCAACCTTTGTGTAAAGCAGCAGCATGCTCCTCACAGCGAGGTTTTTAATGTCATCAGCAAATTCGAATAATCTTTTGACCATTCCTTCATCTATGTCACATATATATATTTGTTTATTTCCAACAAAAATCATTTTAAAACTATAGATATTGGAAAGGGAAAATGTCAGAAGTAGATTATGTGTGTATGTGTGTGTATACTGGTTGTGCAAGTCATTTCCAGACTATATATATATATATATATATATATATATATATACATATATATATATACACACACACAACACACACAACCACACACACACACAACCACATAAATACTGGCAATGCAAACATCTTTAGCAGACAATATACATCTTGGGAATGGATAAACGTTATAAGAGTATATATATATATATATATATATTTATTGAGATGGAAAATCATGAGCATATAGTTTTCATTTTGAAATATATTAATTTACTAAACTGAAGAAATTCATCATACAGAGAGTTAGTTGCTCATTATAATTCATTAGCATGTTGCCATACATTGTATTTGTAGCACCATCTTTAGCACTCTTATATATATTTGTATCTTGATCATTCTTATTCCTTTAATGGTATAATCATACAAAGACTTGTGGTTAGAGGGATACTTATAATTCTGTCCAAACATAGAACAAGCGAAAAGACACAACATTTCAAATAAGGGAACATTCTGAAACTACACCATAAGGCAGTCAGAAGCATTGTCCTCATCTGTAAATTGAAAGCAATGCTTACAAAAATAGAATCCTCCAATCTAAAAACCCATTGCTATAAGCCAGATGTACCTCAAGCTGCTGTTAATCAGATAATGAACAAAGATTTTAAGTTAACGAAGGCAAAGGCCAGAAGTTTACAAGCTTACAGCCACACCTTCTAACCATCAGCTATCTTCAGGAAACTGATGGTCAAAGAAAGTTCTAGAATTAAAACAATTTCATTTCATCACATACCAGTGAAGTGCCTTGTTGCAGCTTCAATGGACTTTATGTGGTCTGCTTAAATGTGGTCTCAGAAGTCAGTGTCAGTTACAGTGGAAGATCTGTGGAATGTCTATCAAGATGCGAAGTTTAAAAGTGTTTTATTATCATTTGAAGATGCTTTTTACAACAAATATTATAGCGTCAGGCTATAGTCATGCATAATTATCACAATAAGGTCAAGCAACAATAAAGTAAATGGTTTGATTAACCTTTGCTTCAAGGAGCTGAAGTATTTTATACATTTTGACCCTTATAAAGATTTTTTAAAAACTTTATGGGTATAAGATCTTGACCAGATATAATATTGAGGGTTTTATAATTTTTTTAAGAATGATCATAAAAAATTTACCGTTAATCAAGAGTTTGAAAATTTTGCTAAATATAATATCTTAAGTCTGAGGAATCGTACATGTATAATGTTGTGGACCTAGTTACAATTTCAAGAATGAAAACCAGGTATTTGGGGTAATAAAAATAGAAATACGAGTCAACTTTAGTTTATCTAGGTTTTTAGTGATTGTACAAAATTATAGATTGAAGTATTCATTACTGTAAAATGGATGGCTTTGGAATAATAAGCAAATTAAAATTGAAAAAAAGAAATTATTTATTTAGATTTATTTGTTGATTGCAGTAATTGGATTTATCATATTTTGTTGTACTGGTATCATTAAATATATTAAATATATTTTAGGCATTTTAGGAATCACATGGGTTATCTTCTTGAGATACTTGTCAACAACAACAATTTCTGAACAGACAAGTTTGGTTAATCAGCAGACACAAAAAATTTCCACAACTACTAGTCTACCCTGGGCTACTTTGTTAAAAAGTAGAGCATTTTGGTAAGTTCTTTGTGAGTTTTACGACTTCTTCTTAGAAAGTAAGCTTTTAACATATTCTATTTATAATATGTCTGATTGAAAAGTTCTCAATTAAATAAAGTCATTAGTTGTTGTGTTTTGGAGGTGCAGTTGTTTACTTTCAGTGTGTTCGTTCTTAGTTGTACAGTTCCTGAGGGAAACACTGAACCACCAAAATAAGTTCAAATCTTTCAGGACTTATTGGAAAATTTGGTTATACAGAACAAAACAATGTGTACTTTGAAATACACTATAGTAGATGTACTCTCCTTGGCTAATTGGTTACAGTATGCTGGAAAATAACTGTTTTTGTTAACATAATAAGATTAAAGAGAAATGTTACAATTGTGTACGAGTAGGATCACTGGAAAGTGTCAGGTGTGTTCATAATATTATTCTTATTTGGAAATGGTGAACACTTTAAGACAGCAGTTTTATTATTCAATGGTGTAAAACATTAGTTTATTGCCTGTTATGAAAGAAGCCTATACACTGAAAAATCACATTCAAAGCCAAATAAGAATTATTTACATAAAATTATATTTCAGACAGTCTTCTGAACTGAAATCTAATAAACATGATGAATTGAACTAAAATGGAACATTACAAATGTAGAATGGCTGAGTGTGGCTCGGTAATAGCACACGCAACTACTGATCTGCAAGTCCTTTGTTTGTTTGTTCCTGTTCCAAAAAATAAATTGTGCTCTGCACATTGGTTGTATTGTAAGGTTAACAGTCAAATCTGACAGTTTGGTCAGTCAAGGGTATCCAAAGAGTTAGTGTTAGGTGTTGTTGATTAGCTGCATCCCCTCTAGTTTCTCGGTTAAAAGCATTTCTTACATAGACAAATAATTTTAGACAATAATATGAAATAAATACTTGTTCTAACCAAAATAAAGATTTTATTACGTACATACTAAAACAAAGGGTATGGAGTTGAATGCTTACACCCACAACGTCTCAACTTTTATTGCCTTTCACTGTCTGCAGCCAGTTGTGGGAAGGCAGTTACCCTTAAAAGCTCTATGAATTTCTAAAATAGAAATGAAATGAAATGAAACCACCCTAATATTTCTACTATATGTTACTCCCAACCTCCACCTTCACGAAAGAAATGAAATAATAAAATGATCTTAAATAGAACTACAAGCCGTACCTTAAAGTTTCTTATGCAGTTCACACTCTCAACTTCTTCCCTTTCTCTTGAAACTTTATTCAAGACTGGAAAGCCGAGACAAGCCCAGTTACTTGAAGTTAGTCTTTCCGACCCGGTATACTGAATATATTTACAGTTTTAATCTAAGCTACTTAAAGGTAGCTAACTTATAGTTATGTTTTTATATATTAAAATACAGAATATTTGTACCTTCACTAATTAAAATGTAATATATATTATTTCACATCTGTAAGGCACTTTGAAAATTTAACAATGTCTGTTAAGCAACCCTCAAACGTATTTTATTTTGATCATCCCTAGGAGAAGCTAATTAAATGTTTAATAAGTTATAGTGAGTCAATACTTTCATCAATGTAATTTATTCTGTTATTACCATATTATCAGGGCTATGTTGATTGCGCAGATAACAGAAGACAACTGTTTTTATATCCTAATCTCATGGTTGCCAGTCTACTTTAGTGAAAATTTTCCACAAGGCAAGGTATACAAGTTTGTTTGTTTTTATTCCAGCTTCTTAATTGTCATTGTATATTGGTGAATCTATGTAAATGTAATAGTACTATCTGTTGTATGTCCATGGAACAACATTGCAAGGTGTGGATTGTTCATTGGGTCCATGTGGAGGTACATACAAATTTTCAGTTTTGCAGTTTTTATGGGCATTTGTGCTTTTTTTTAACCACTATCTCACCTCCCATGGGTGGATCTTCACTAAATTTGGTATGAAGGTTCATTTGGTCCATGGAGAGATACATACAAATTTGTGGTTTCACATTTTGTGTTTTGCAGTTTTTATGGGCATTTTTTACAATTACATATTAGGAACCAAATTTTTCATATCCTAAGATAATCTTTCATTAATCATGAATTTATATAACTTCCATCCAGGGGACGGGTATCCCAGCTGGTAAAGATATAACTTATTTTTACATAACAATCTCTTAGTTCATATTTAACTTTTAGTAACTATTACTCTAGTCCATATTGTTTAATTTGTTCTACATAGTAACCATTACTCTTGTCCATATTGTTTAATTTGTTCTACATAGTAACCATTACTCTTGTCCATATTGTTTAATTTGTTTTACATAGTAACCATTACTCTTGTCCATTTTGTTTAATTTGTTTTACATAGTAACCATTATTCTTGTTCATATTGTTTAATTTGTTCTACATAGTAACCATTACTCTTGTCCATATTGTTTAATTTGTTCTACATAGTAACCATTACTCTTGTCCATATTGTTTAATTTGTTCTACATAGTAACCATTACTCTTGTCCATATTGTTTAATTTGTTCTACATAGTAACCATTACTCTTGTTCATATTGTTTAATTTGTTTTACATAGTAACCATTATTCTTGTTCATATTGTTTAATTTGTTCTACATAGTAACCATTACTCTTGTCCATATTGTTTAATTTGTTCTACATAGTAACCATTACTCTTGTTCATATTGTTTAATTTGTTCTACATAGTAACCATTACTCTTGTCCATATTGTTTAATTTGTTCTACATAGTAACCATTACTCTTGTTCATATTGCTTAATTTGTTCTACATAGTAACCATTACTCTTGTCCATTTTGTTTAATTTGTTTTACATAGTAACCATTATTCTTGTTCATATTGTTACGTCTCCGTTTGTTAATTGATTTATCCGTAACTTTGTTCCGACGAAACTTTAACGACACAAGTCTTTACTTAATAAAACTGGTTTATTCTTTCTGAATATAACTTTACGATACACTTAATTTCAATATTCGCGCTAAAACAAACACTATAACGAACGAACGTTAACTTCAACAATACGTCTCTCTCTGACTGCAGTTCAATTACTCATAACCTACACACACATTATTTATTCCCGTCACGTTGTCACACTCTTTTATATACCAGACTACCCTATATATAGTAGATGCTAGAGCATTCGCCAAAGTACAGGATAGTTCTAGAAAGTAGAGGGCGTGAGAATAGTCACATGATCTCG